CTGGGAAACGAAAGCATTAGGGAAGTCTAAAGTTCATCAAATATCGCGGGCGTGGGTCACCAACCGTGGGTGGTCATCCTCACTGATCTCAAAAATATGGCGGACTGTCATGAATAGCGGACACTGATTGGTCCAATTTAAAGTTTGCATTATAACGACTGTCGACTGTATGACGACAGCGAAATAGCAAACATTTCTTGATTTGATGATTGATAAATTTCTTGCAAATATATTTCATTTTTGCTCGCATTTTGGCAAGATTTTGTAAATTTCAAAAGCTCTCTCAGAAAGAAACTGCGAAAGAATCGGCTAAAAGAAGGGAGCCGACGTTAACGAAGGTAAGTTTGTTTTAAATATTGATTTTATAATGGCTTTAAAACCCGACGGCCTTTGCGTATGAAATAACTAACAAGACAGCATATAATTTCATTGTATGTTTAATATTGATTCCCTTTTTTATGATATTCCATTTTTTAAATAAAAAAGAAAGCAAAGTTATTTGCAAGCGAAAATTTGAAATCATTTTATTGCAAACTCAAAGTTTATCGATAAAGCCATTTTAAAAGGCAGATTAGTTTTAATATAAAGAAGACTAGTGACTTTAAAACGTTTTGCGAAGCGTTTGTGGTTGAATTTTACCTTAAATTGAGGCTTATATTACGTATAATAACATGCCTATAACATATATATGTTGGGAAATTAATAATTTTGTAATTAAAAGTGATATTTTCAGGCGATTTTTCATTTGTAAGAATTTGAATATTCTTAAAAAATTATCGTGTTACCATGACAACTACTTTAGATACTTCATGTTCGGAAAATACAATGGTTTTGTCAGCAAGGCGAGGGTTTCTGCATGCATGTATTTTCTAGTAGATTTATAAGCGGCAATTGATAAAACTAGAATAGTGAAGCGAATAGTGCGAATAGTGCGAATAGTCGACGAATAGTACGAATAGTCGACGAATAGTACGAATAGTCGCGAATAGTCGACGAATAGTCGACGAATAGGCGACGAATAGTACGAATAGTCGACGAATAGTGCAAAAGAGACTTTGCAAGGCTTTGCAGCAGTGCTGTAGAACTAAATTTACCGGGGGGGGGGGGCTCTATTGACAAACATGAAATCGTGAAAACGTTCGTTGACGTACGTCAATGACGTCATACGTAACCGGTAAAAATTACGGGAACCACTGAGTATTTTAATAAAATATAAAACAACGGTAACTTCGAAAATAAACATTTTAATATTGTAGCTTTCGATTAAAATTCAGTCATCGTCAGGAAACATATTTCATATTTTTTACATTTATAATCATTCCTGCTGGTAAGTGGTAACCATATGAGTCATGAATTTTACTGATGGAATTTTATAGGAATTTTACTTTAAGTTGTTATGTTGTAACTGAAGATTTAAGGGCTTAAGTGATTTCGTGTGCTTGGAAAACGTGATTTACATCACGAAACAAGAGAAGGTATATCGATTTATTATTTAAGCTTGTTTTTGGGCGAATGTGTTCGCGCGAAGCGAAAACCAAATTTCGGCAATGTGATTGGTCAGCGAAAAAATTCGCCGCGAAAATGTTGGATCAGTTCCTACTCTTTTACTTGTCGCTTCGCGCGAACAAATTCGCCCAGTGGAAAACGTCATTCTAGTGATTGTCATTCTACTTCCTGTTAAATATTTGCTAAAACTCAGTGGTCCCGTAATTTTTACCGATTACGTATGACGTCATTGACATCAACGAATGTTTTCACGATTTCATGTTTGTCAATAGAGCCCCACCCCCCGCTTCGGTAAATTTAGTTCTACAGCACGGTGGAAAGCCTTGCAAAGTCTCTATTGCACTATTCGTCGACTATTCGTACTATTCGTCGACTATTGGCGGACTATTCGTACTATTCGTCGACTATTCGCGGACTATTCGTCGACTATTCGCGGACTATTCGTCGACTATTCGCGGACTATTGGCGTACTATTCGTCGACTATTCGCACTATTCGCTTCACTATTCTAGTTTTATCAATTGCCATTTATAAGCAGTGTAAGTTGAGCTTGCAACCAACGTGACGTCATAAATTATCGGACATATTCACATCATTTACATATCAAACAAATTGAAATATCTCGGGAACAAACCAAGAAAACAAGAAACTGAAAAATAAGTTACACTACAGCTTGAAGAGTTCTTTCATTTAAGAAAATAAAAAAATTCATGTCATATGCACTTTAAGCCCCGGTGAAATAAAGATGAAAGTTGATGAGAGTTGGCAGGCACGCATTGTTACGGGGACATTTTAAGCTCTAGATTAACAAAATAAAGATTTGATGAGTGTTCCAACTATGTTTAAACTTAGTTAGAATACATTATAGTGTTGGGAAAGCATTAAAGACAGCTAGCCAACGTCGCATGATTGCCAAGTCTCCTACAATCTCAGACTCGTTTGACCGGGGTTTAGTATATACTTCGTTGACAACTTTCTTTAGATCGAGAACTGCTTTTAAAACAAACACACTGAAAAAACTCGGTTGAAAATAATCGCAATTCCGCTCAATCGTTTCCTCATGAAGATTGTTTTTCCAATTCAGTTAAATTTCCACGAGAGTACCGCCGCCATATTTTATTACGAGAAAAGCCGCAAGTGATCGGTATGTCACTCCTGGGCAAAAAATACGCTAACCTATAGCTGGTCTGGGATGTAGTGTAGGTTTTCCCCCTCCCCGTTAAAAACGAGCGAATCGAAACGTTGATTGCATTGAACTGATCATTCTTCAGTTTAACAATCCTTATGTATTTTCACTTTTGCACCAAAAATCTCTTCCCTAAGGCTGCTTTCCAGTCACACGTTTTGTTGAAATATCTTTAAATGTTGCTAATGAAATAACTGAATGAATAAAAGGAAAGCATATAGCAAAGTGAATGATTTAATGTGCATTTCTACATGCAGGTAAATCAATATTAGTATAAACCTACTAGTAGGCTATCACATATCGTGCCTTCTGATTGGCTACGCTACTAGTAGGCTATTAGTGATAGCCTACTAATAGAAAATTCAAAATGGCGGAAAATTCGCGTTTTGCACTTTTGCCGAAGTGTCTGATGATTTTTTGGATGACTTGTTGAACAATTCTGTACTAAAAAACCCCGAAAAAAGCAACAAAAATATGGAATGGCAATTTTTAAGGGTAAGAAAATAGAGAAAATAGACAAAATAACATTTAAAATTAAAACTGAATTTTGTAAAACATTTTACGCGAACAAAAACTAAAATATTTGTTTACCTTTAATGGTTTTATAAATTTTTTTTGTGTATTTTTGTATTGTGTTTGCAGCCTAGTTGTAAATTAATGTTAAAGTTTATACTAAAACAATTAGACAACTCGGCCTCGTTGTCTATGAGCAAATAGTCGCTCATAGACAACTCGGCCTCGTTGTCTAATTGTTAACTAGTCTTAAATTGAAAGAGATTTAAACTTTTCCGTGCGTATAAAAACGCGGGACTGGAACGCAACCTTAATAGTGAAAAACTGGGTTTATTATTGGAAACTGTATTTTTCAATGTTAATTTTTATTTAAACACATCCATAGATATTTTAATACATCCATTAATTTTTAGGTATAAAACTATAGTGTAATGAACATATTAAATAAAAATATACAAAAGCAACAGAAACAATGTTCGCAAACCTTCAACAAACTGTGAAAAACGCACAGAGCACATGGCGGGTTTTTCGTTGTTCAACATACCCCGTTGTTTGGAGAAAAATTAGGTCCCAATCAATGCACCTGTATGCACATCGCTCCACTTAGGCCATTGTTTTCACAGCTTTTGAGCACTTCGCCATGGTTAGTGAGGCACGACTAATGGGGTCGGTCATGTAGAAATCTTCCAAATTTGAAATAAAAGGGAGAAGAGCTTTATCTGATGGTTTACTGCCCTATAGAAAAGAACACAAAGTACAACTTCAAAAAAACTAATGTGCTGATCAGTGGTAGACGTATTCCGAAGATAGAGAGAAATAAGTTTGCAGTCCATCTGCAAAATGCAGCTGAGCGGTCGGAAAATCACAGTACGTACCGCTAAGATGGACCGCTCGCAAAGAAAAACTTAATTAATTATCTTTTTTACCATTAAAAAAGATTTAATATGTCACGTTGTTAAGTTTTTATATAAAATAACTTCTTATTCTACTCTAGAAGAATGCTCTTTTTTCAGCCAAATTCCGCCCGGTTATTTACACCCGGGGAAAAGAAAGCATTAGCGAAGTATAAAATTCAACAATAATCGCGGGCGCGCGTGACTATGGTTCATGGGTGGACCTCACTGATCTCTAAAATATAGCTGTTTGCCAGGAGTGGGATAAGCAATATTTCAAATTTCAAAACATACATTGGGAAAATCACGTTTCACACATTGAGCTTTGAAGCAATTTTGTTTGAAGAGATGAGAAGAATTGATGCCTGAAATAGCTGACGTGGTCTGGCCGTGTTTCCTCACTGCCTTTAACATACCTTTAGTAACTCTTTAGTCAACGAAAAATAATTTGCTTCTTCAACATCGCCATATCGAGTGAGATTTGGTGCAATCTCAGTCATACGACTTCTTATATCATTCAGCGTGTCATACGGTAGAGGATCTCCACATATCTAGCAAAATAATTTTTCACGTTTTAGAAAAGGGCCCATCGACAGATGAATTCATGTTTGATAAAACTCAAGCCAATGGTACAGCATACATAATTTTATGATATTTTTCTCACTGCATATTTCATACCATATTGTCCTGCACTAGCGCAGCCAGGATTCTAATTTATATTCTCAGTTAAGCAATTTTGTATATCAAGAATTGGGCCTTCCTTCCTTTATGGGCCCCTTTAATCGCACTGATTTTAAAATACAATGTTTAAAATGAAAAACAAAACGTAGAAAAAAGTGCATGCGTACCTCTGAAAGTGCTCTTATTATTTTCCAATCATCTCTTGCTAACCCAGGAGGGGATACAGCTCGCCTTTGAAATAAGAATATGACATTTAAACGGCAGAGAAAGTCAGAAGCTAATAAATACATCCGAACCACAATAACTAGGGATGCACCGGATATCATATCCGGCCGGATATCCGGGGAAGGGCTAAATAGTGATAGTTATAGTTTAGCTTGTGAACAGATCTCACAGAGATAAAGAAACAGTGAATCTTCAGACGGAATAATTAATGTCAAAATCTCTTTATACAACAGCTCGTTAAATTCCGGTCATTTAAGGAGACTCCATACAGTTTCCAAAATATGTGAGTGTTTTAAACTTAAACCTATTTAATTAATTTAAATCTAAAAAAAACTAATTTTTTGCACAAGCCAATGTTTCCTCTTATATAAAAGAGTAATTTTAACCCACAATCGCTACTCTTCACGTTACCATGACAACATGACGTCACCATTTATATTGGCAAATTCAACCAAAAAGCCGTCTTAGCGGACAAATAACCACGGTGACCTACCTTTTTTATTGCAGAAATTACATTGTTATAAAGTTTTGAATCTTTTTTAAAGTTATTTGAAAATCCCCAGTGTAGTTTTCGAGAAACTAAATTTCAGCCTTTCCAGAGGCTAAAATGCAATCTTAAAGGCTGAAATTCAGTTTCTCGAAAACTACACTGGCGATTTTCAAATAACTTTCAAAAAAGATTCAAAACTTTATAACAATGTAATTTCTGCAATAAAAAAGGTAGGTCACCGTGGTTATTTATCCGCTAAGACGGCTTTTTTGGTTAATATAGGCCATATAGATGGTGACGTCATGTTGTCATGGTAACGTGAAGAGTAACGACTGTGGGTTAAAATTACTCTTTTATATAGGAGGAAACAATGGCTTGTGCAAAAAATTAGGGTTTTTTTCAGATTTAAATTAATTAAATAGGTTTTAGTTTAAAACACTGACATATATTGGAAACTGTAGGGAGCCTCCTTAATTGGCTGATTATGATCACGTGATTTGAATAAAAATTATCATTTTGTTCAGCATCAATAGTACGTGAAAGGCTTTAATTTAATATCAATCATTTAAAATTCTATTCGTATTGTGACCGTAGCTCTTTTTACTATAATTTATGAGCTGCAATCATACTGAGACCGATGAATTACGAATTAAATTCAAATACATAACTCCGGCGAAGCAATATCGCGGGTGTAAAAATATAATAGGAGTTACTACGTGCTGCCTCAAGGGATGAAAGGTGGCATTCTTTTGAACTGGAAATGTCCATCGGGAGTTGAAAACGCTGTTTTCTCACGATCTTCCTCGGCGATCTTAATTTGCCAGTAGCCACGGACTAAATCTAAATGTGAGAAGTACGCTGCACCGGCCAATGACTCTAGGATTTCTTCGCATCTTGGTAGTGGATAGACGTCCTTTTTGGTAATTTCGTTCAACTTCCGATAGTTAATGCAGAAGCGTTCAGTCCCATCTTTCTTCTTTACCAAAATCACCGGAGCTGCCCATGGAGACTTTGAGTGTTCGATTATATCGCTCTCAATCATCGATTCCACCTCTTTCCGTACGGTTTCTCGTTTGTGGAATGGCAATCTTCGTGCTGGAATTCGTATTGGCGGTGCGTTTCCGGTATCTATGGAATGTTCTACTCCTATGGCTTCTCCCAAGTCAGTTTTGTTACCAGAGATGACTGCAGGATGTCGTGCAAATACCTGGTAAACACTTTCCTCCCGTTCTTCGTCAATGATTGGTTATCAATAGGAAACAACTGATCCCCCAAGGGATCAAAGGCAGCATGCTACATGCACAATCTGCTGAATAGGGGGCTGTTTATATGATCTCACTTGCCGGGACGAGATGTGATGCGGGATTATTTTGATGTATTGAAATAAGTCACGGTGCACGATTCAGCAAAAAACTACATTATTTTCTAGAGATATATTATAGTTAACTGTAAACGAAAAATTGTTCAAGCAGCAATAATAATCTTCTTGAACTACAAGATCTTCTCTGCAGAAATTGAGTTCTGGTAACCAGGGGGCGGTTGCTAAAAGCTGGGTTAGCGCTAACCCCGGGTTAAAATTTAACCCACTGTTTTAGTTTGGGTACATTTGCACATCTGTTTATTTCAAAACTTTGGAAAATAAAACTTCTGTTCGTCCAGACATGAATTTTGGAAAACTATCTTTTTGTTTCTAAACAGGCTGTTGTGAAGATTGCTTTGAAATTTGCGTTAAACCTAAGATTAAGCTAACCAGCTTTTGAACAACCGGCCCCAGCATTTGAACTTTCGTTTAGCCTAGTGACTTATTTCAATACATCAAAAGCACCCCGTCTTCCAACATAAATATAATATTTTTACGGTTATGTCCAGTTAAACGATCACCATTATCGTATTAATTCTTCATCAAAACATTTTTTTGGATTTCAATTATTTTGTTAGATTTCAATTATTTTTGAACATGCACATGTAACTGATGTATGTATTTGTTTTGTATTTAATTCACTTAAAAATTCAAACAAATAAAACCATTTTCAGTACTTTTGTGTCATATAAAACAAATATTACATGAATGTTTTCATTCGCGCAATAGTAAAAATATTTTCATTCGGTGAAAGATGGAATTTTCCATTACACTTGGCAAATGGAAAAATCCATCTTTCACTCATGAAAATATTTTACCATCGCACTCATAAACATTCATTATTTGTATACATCATTCCTGTTGTATAGTATAGGAACAAATAAACATCCAACGCCCCTTTACTGTTGCGCATTATATCCTTACCTCGTCTGTTGTGCTCTTCCCTCAGTATTCACGTATGTTGCTGTTTTTTCTGTGTACGCAGCACCCGGTAATATAACATCGGCCATGTGTGCACCATAATCTCCATGGTGACCTGTGTATGGTTGGAAGGAAATTAATACAAGACAACACCGCCGTTTGCACTCAATTGTTAACTGTGACCAAGCAGTCAATTATCAAAAATAGCAAAAATTTATTATTACTGAATATTTTATTTTCAAATGGACAGCTCGCAGCAGCTGTCAATAGACGACTAAATTAGCGAATTACATGTACACAAAATGGCTTTCTGAAGATTACTGTTCAGATTTCTTCATTGGATGAAACGGGCTGTAGTGGCAACCTTGAAGTACTACTATCTGATACGATATCGAGCACTCTCTAGCATTTCGTGAACCACATAGAGCCTTTATAGGAAAGAGGATACAGCCTTTATACGAAAGAGAATACAGAAAAATTTCTCGCCGGCCAATAGCAGTTATAATGCATAACAAAAGTGGGAGGCTTAGTATTTATAGCTGTTACAAAGATATAGGTTAATATATACGAATAGCGAAATATTTTCGTCACTAAACGTTACTATACCGTTTACAAATGGAACCTCAAAAAACATTTCGAACAGTTATTCACAATTCACCGTTGCAAAGGGCAGCAAACTTCAATGAATTCGTCAGCGCATTTTTGAAATTGAGGGCCCCTAACAGTACCTCCACATGCAGTCTAGCTAAGGTATAGTTGGGTCTAGCTTAAAAATAATGATGTCATGAGGCTCCCAGGGAAGATTTGACAAGGGCCCCGCGAATTCTCTCGGCGACCCTGTAGTGTAGATATCCACATTACCTTGATATACGATAAAGCAATCTTTAGGTAAGTTTTCTTTATTAACTGTTCCAATATCCTAAACATTAATTAAATAAACTTATGATTGAAGAGCAGCTAAAACACTGTGAAGATTAAGGGGATATTAATATTAGCCAGGGTAGCCAAGAAGCCCAGGCTCCTTCGTGTTACGAAAATCTCTTTGGTAGGAAGGAAAGATTTGACTTAACTTAGCAAGTAATTAAAACTACGTAATCGTTTAAGTTCACAGTTAGTGAGCTTAAGCAAGTAACGTCACCCTAAAATTGGTATAACTATAATTTTGGAGGCGTGCTGCATCATAGCGCTCATGTAAGAAAGCAAAAAACTTTCAAAATCTTATGTTCTGTCATACGTGTTGAAGATTACCACAAACTCACACAAACAAAGTTTGTAATCCAGTCCCCCCAACAATCTGACGTCCGTGCATGCATGTATGCATGTTGATAAAAACGTCGCTTTCTTGACAAAACAGTCAGCACAAATACAGTGGAACTCCCATATGAGGGGCATGCTGCAGGTTCTCTACTGTTTCATTTCTTGTTGACATAAGTTTCAGAATAGAAAACGTGTCCGTTGCTTATACATGTCATAGGAATTCGTTATAAAGGTTACCGATTGCACATATTCAGTATGGATGCGAAAGAGTGTTCACTGCCCACTGTTAATAGCATGGTTTCCATGCAGTTCAATTTGGATAAAACATGCAAAATTTGGATAAAAAATGCAACTGTAGGGTTTAATAACCCTTAATCCTTCAACTGTTAATACTCAAATACACCCACTTATTTTCCCTATCAGCCTATAAGGTACAGTGGTCTTACTCGAAACAAGGAGTGGCTATACACTTACTGCTCCAAGAAGATATAAGAACTTGAGTGAGCTTGGTAGATCCAGTCGAGGTTTATATCCAATATCTAACGCTGCCACCTGACTTGCCATCTGCAAAATGATTTTAAAACAATTTCGTTACGGTTAATGGCGATAAAGACGCAGAAATAACAAAACTTCGGTTGATAGGTATGCAACTTTCTGAAGAATACAAGGAAAAATTCGACGTTTCGAGCGAAGGCCCTTCGTCGGGAGCCACTAACTTCCTGACGTTAGTCTAATAACTTCCCCCACGAAGGGCCTTAATTCGCTCGAAACGCCCAAGTTCTCCTTGTATTTTTCAGGTAGTTGCATCCCTATCAACAGAAGTTTTGTTATTATTCGCACTATACCTACACTGGCACAGATCGATAAAGACCCTTATCCCATACCTGTGTTAAAAGCGGCTTTCTGATTGGTTTAGAGCAGGTGAGCTTGTCGTCGAGCTCACCTGCTTTTTGTCCGAACTCACCTGCTTTTCGCCGAACTCACCCGCGAAACTGCTCACGTTGCAATAACAATATGGCGGACAAGATTTAGCCGATAAACCTAGACTTTAAAGAACTTTTTTCGGTGACTAACATACTGAGACTAAAGAAAAACCGAAGAAAAAATGCAATAAAGGTAATCTAGACGTAGATAAAAAGTATTAAGAGCCCAGTGTTTTTTTGGCCGGGAAAATGTTGACAAAACTTCGACGAATATATCGCGAAGAGCTACAAATGTGTGTATATGGCTCGGTGTATGGGATAAAAACCAAACGCACTTGCAGGTTCGGTGAGTCCGGGATTGGACGCACCTCGGGTGGCTGGAAGTTTCCCGAACTCACCTCGCTTCGCTCGGTGAGTTCGGGAAACTTTCAGCCACCCTCGGTGCGTCCAATCCCGGACTCACCGAACCTGCAAGTACGTTTGTTATAAGACACGCCGGACGCGATACGGCAACGCAATTTTTCGGCTTTTAACCGTAAACGATATGCGTACCAGATAACTCAAATATAGGGTGCGGTAAATCGCGTGCTTGCTTATACCGGAGGTACGTTAATATTATGGTCCAGTACTTCTTTTTTGAGCCAAGTGCCCTGGCCTTAAAATGTCGGCCAGAGAACCGTCTGACAAAATATTCGAGGACTTTGAGTTTGGGTCGGACGTATATGTATTGTGATTTCCGATTGATATCCGATGACTTTGAGTTCGGTCAGGTATAGTGTATTTTTTCAGTGTCAATGCTGTGCCGCGTCGTATGTGCGCCAAACGGTCCGTCATTTACACACCCGAGTATCGGAACACCTATAGGTGTTTCCGCCTTAAGGTGGCTCAATACAGCATTTAAAAAATGGAAAATTCACGATTTAGATGCGTATTTTTGGACATTTATTACTTTTTGATAAACAAAAAGTACCTTACTTATAGAAAACAACATCTAAAAAGTTTGAACTTCTGCACAAAAGTTACGGCATTGTTATGGCAACAATGACGTTTCAAGATGGCGGATATTTTGGCTTTAAAGTAATTTAACTCGTAAACGACATCGGCGACCCCCAAATTTTATTTAAAGAAATGATTTCTCTTTGTATATCAATTATTTTGACAATTTAAAAAAAATTCTGTGGAGCCAAAAAAATTATTATGAATAATCATCTTTACATAATTTAAAAATGTTTGGCTCCACAGAATTTTTTTAAAACTGTCAAAATAATTGATTATACTAAGAGAAATAATTTTTTAAAATAAAATTTGGGGTCACCGATGTCGTGTACGAGTTAAATTACTTTAAAGCTAAAATATCCGCCATCTTGAAACGTCATTGTTGCCATAGAAACGGCAGTTGGGTAACTTTCGTGCAAAAATTCAAACTCTTTAGATGTTGGTTTATATACGTAAGGTACTTTTTGTTTATCAACAAGTAATAATTGTCCAAAAATACGCATCTAAATCGCGAATTTTCCATTATTTTAAAAACTGTTATTAAGCCACCTTAATAAAGGCAATGAGAGCAGTATAATACCACACTCATAAGCATCATTTCGCACCTAAAAACTTCTGGCCATACACCTTCTATTGATGACTTCAAAGTTCTTTCTTCTAGCGCCAACTCTGAGATTTTCGCAAATTGTTAAAGGTGCAGGATTCACCTTTAACATTCATGCAAGATGAATGCTGCAAACACAATCATATAATTTCAACTTACTCTATGCATTATATTCAGTGTTCTCCAGTCTGAAGGAACTTGTTGGGAAGCTTTCAGTTTATTAGCCAACGAGAACACCAAGTCATAAATACTTGCACCATCTGCTCGTTGTAGTATTGAACTACCCACAATCACCATTGGCCTTTGCGCTTCCGATAAGACCTGAAATGATAATACAAATCTTTCACGACAAATGCTGCACAGAAAGACGTGACAACGTACCATATAGACAACTAACAAGCTTTCCTAGGTAGGGATGCAACGACCTAAAAAATATAAAGAGAATTTCGACGTTTTGAGCGAAGGCCCTTCGACTGGAGTTACTAGCAGGGGGTCGAGAAAATTACATGAGCTTTCATACTAAGAATATGAAAGCATCACCTGACAATAATAAACCAATCACATGGATTTAGTCAAAACATAATGTAAATCACATTACATTACATTACAGAATATATTAATACAAATATACAGAGAGCTACAACAAAATATATGGTATAAGTATGGAATAAGGCATGAATTAAAAGTATACTGTCAATGTCCGCTTTTGACAAGCAAAGACAGACTGAGTTCAACATAGGAAAAACGTTCATTAATGCCATAGGTGTAGACAGTGCCGAGTTTGGAAATGAGGCGCATTTCGTGTCTTTTGCGGCTATCGTTGCTTCTGGAAATAGGACAGAGGGCTCGAATTTCCGTATCTGAAATACCGTTGATTGTCAGTATTAAAATGTCTGGCAACAATCTGGTTAGCGTCATTGCCAATGACTGCACGATGCTCTGATGCCCATTGCCGATGCTCACCAAACCTTGTTCTTCCAGTTTCTCCAATATAAAACATACCACATCTACTGCATGAGGCGCAGTAGATGAGATGGGAGGAGGTGCATGTGAAATTATACAGACTTGACATGGTATTGAAACATGGTGCCGAAATGGTGGTAGAGGAATCTATAAAATCACAGGTTTTGCATTTGGCAACCCGGCAAGGAAACGTGCCATTCTGTGACGACAAATCCTGTGATAGGGAGCTGTGAACGGCATAGTACAAAACATGGACTGGACTGGACAGTTGGACTGGACTGGACAGATGGACTGGACAGTTGAACTGGACTGGACAGTTGGACTGGACTGATTTTTACGTTTTCTCTATTCTTGACTTGCATGTCAGCAGCATGTCAGGTGGCATGGCACAAAAGAATATTTTATCACAGAATAAATATACCATGATGCCATGTCTATTTTGTGATTTTATCGATGAACATTGTCATGTACCAGGAGGAGATTGGTTTCAAGTCAAGAATATGTTTTGCACCTGAATTACTTTTGATTTTCGGAAATTGAAATACTTTACCTTCGCCGATGACCTCACTTTATAACTGGAGTGAAATCTCTTAAAGCGAAAGAAACCCCAGTAAGGGACCGACCATTTAACTTTTGAGGGGGGAGGA